CCCCAAAACCCCAAAACCCCAAAACCCCAAAACCCCGTTTATAAAGTAATTATTTGAAATAAACTATTTAGGAAAATGAATAAGCTCGCAATGCATAAGCCCTTTATCTCAAATACCACTACAGGACTACGAACTCCTCACCAAAAATCGTCCAAGGAGGATGCTCTAAAACCAAACAACTCAGTAGAGGAACCTTGAAGTCCTATCAAGGTAACTAAACAAAGGTATAAACTAGTCAGAGGGTTGGCATCTTAACCCAGCGATTAGATAGTCGATGCTAAGGCTCTAGATCCTTACTTCCTCGAGCATCCTTTATCTATAAGTCTTCATAAAATTTTAAACTTCCTTCCTGAGGCTGCAAGTATAAGAAATCTCTGTATAAAGTATTTCTTTAAGAATTTTTAGAAATTTTAGTCTATATAACCTCAGGTTCTTTATGACGAGGCATAGTTATGCCAGTAACAACAAGCGTTTTGCTCCGATATGTTCTTCGATGATATTTTCTTAGATATAATCAACCTTATATTAGATATAGATTTTCAAAAACCAAGATGGGCTTGAATATGAAAAATGTATGCAGAAGTATAGACACGAACTATCTAGACTCGTACCAAGCAGTAACCTAATTTAGGAATAACTATCAATAGATGATAGATTCGCAGAGCCCTTTCAAAACTCCGAGTCTCGTTTCCAACAGAGTCGAAAGTACTGTTAATGTGAAGAGAAAAACAGTTAGATCGAAGACCAAATAATAATAAAGCTATTGAAACCAACAATAATGGCTACAACAGCTACCAGTATGGGGATACTTTACAGTCAAAGAAGAAGTTGACTGCTCCTGATTCATCGCTCTTTGACCCCAGTCTTGAACTCTTCAAACAAACTGGTACAGGGAAGACGAAGAGAGCAGGTACGGGAAAGGGAAATATTCGCAAGCAAAAGACTATAGTTAGTTCTAATAGGAAAGAGAGTAAGAATAAAATAAAAGAAGCTAGATTCACGAAATCTATTAACTTAGCTACTTCTATGACACCAAAGGAAATCAAGACAGACTCTTTGTCTCAACTTGATGATTATGGAGCCCAAGGAAGAAAATTTAGAGGAAAGAACACAAAGTCTTTCTCCTCTTCCAAAACGTCAGTATCAGGTATGCTGAACGAAAAGGTCCCTTCAAGGAACAACTTGGTGGATCGATATATGGAAGTACTCACTAAATCTATAAAACAAGGGAGGGATACAAAAACTATTGAAACACTAAAGCTTCTTCTATCCCACTTTATGAGGAAAATAAATAACCGTTCTGAAATAACTACTGTGATGCAGAAAGTCAAGGATGATCCACTAATTTCCCCTTCAAGGAAGCTTAATGGAAAAGAAGTATTTGAGTTGAAATAGCTCTGTATCTATTTCATTACGCAAGAAGTTTTCAAACCGTGATAGGAACAAGGTTAATCGAGCAAAGAATAAACTGGACAAGAGTAAAAATTCTGCACATCGGACTACAAGAAAACATGTGCCCAAAGAAATAGAATTTACCCTGAATGACTCAGCTGAGAATTCTAGCCATATCGAGCTGAGACTCCCTGATCATACTGAAGAGATAGATCGGAAAGGGAATTATATTCACATTACTAAAGCAGAGTTTGATCGAGAGGAGAATCAGTTCAAGACTTCTAAAACACCTAACGAGTTTGACCAGGAGAGGAAGAAAATAGAGTATAAAAGTTATATTATTCGTAAGAAGACCAATGAGAAGCCCCATTTCACTGTTTTCTCGCCTAACAAAAGTCCTAAGAAGTACAAATTTGACACGATTAGAGGATCTTGTAAAAGTGACTTAAAGAAAAAGAACAAATCTGTCACTGAGAGAAGACCTCGAGAGAAGAGACGCAAGCAGAGGAAAATCCTAGATCCTGTCATTGAGGAGCAAGAAGATAGAAAACAAGAGAAAGGATCCAGTCCTCAGATGTTTTACAACACGCCTGCTACTGAGAAGAAAAATACTAGTTCTGATGCTCTAACTCATAATGCAGAAATTATGGAAGAGCTTGATAACCTTAAGCACCGTCTTAAGAGTGTTTTTAAGTCTTTATCTCAAGAAAGGAGTCCACATGATAGAGTTCCAGCTTCAGCAGTGATCAACCTGAGTGCAGAATAATCAGTGAAATTTATAACAAATTTCTGTTGAGGGGTTTTGGGGTTTTGGGGTTTTGGGGTTTTGGGGTTTTGGGGTTTTGGGGTTTTGGGG